AAACCTGTTTTGAGGAGAACGGTGTTTTGTTGTTTTTTTTCCAAGAACTGCAGGTGTGCTCAGAGGAGCACCATCAGCTTAAGAGGACAGTAAATTTTGCTTTATTTATGAGGTGTCTTCTGCTTGGAGGTGATGTACTGTGACTTCTACAGCATTTTTTGGCTGTCACCATACATAGGTAGAGTACAGGTAGCACATGTGATGAGATTCCCATGCCAAGACTGCACACATGGTGTCAAGAAGAGACATCCTGGAGCAGTCTGTGCTGTGGACCTCTTCTAATATAGTTGTGGGGTTTTACTGGGGGGAAGAAGGAGAAAGCACAGATAGAGCTGGGTTGGTTAAGAGTCACTGGACAAAGCATGACAAGAGCTTCTGAGGGCAGATGGGTGAAATTCAAGTAGGAAAAACTTTCCCTATGGTGTACTGAGAGAAAATGCCTGTTACATCACAGAAACCAAGGAAGGGAGCAGTTGAAATATAGCTCCTTGGACCTCAAAAAGCAACTAACCCTTGCTGCCTTTAGGTGCCTGCTGCAAGAAAGAGTTACAGGAGGTAACACTGCCAGTACCTTTGATCTGCTTTGTCTCCTAAGTTCTAGTATGGTGATGTTTGTGGGAGTAAGGAAACTGCTCCTTGTTCACACTAGTGCTCTGAGTTGTAGCAGCTGTGGTTTGGCACTGGAAGGGGTGCAGGTATACCTGTGTTTCTTCCTTTGCTGACTTATCCATTTCACAGCCCTGAAAAAGAGTGGTTCCTGGATGTGGTTTTACTGGGAGGTAACCCTCCCACCCACTGATACTGCCTTGTTTAGCTGCTGCAAGAGCAGAGTCAGTCTTTTCACAGGAAAGAACTGCCCTGGTGCACCACTCAGCGGGATTTTTCCATGCACAAAGGGATTTGTTTCAGTAGCATTGAGCTATTTCATGAGCTTTGCTGTGCCCAGGCCTGTGGGATGAGACTGAAACCTGTGGTGCCAGCTGATGGCTTACTATGATGAGGGGAGGACTACATCCAGATAAACTTCCCCCTGTTCTTCACTTCTCCCTATGACCTGTTAAGTCTTGAGTTATGGACCTGATACTGTGCTGGGTGTCCTCTTAGCACCTTTAAATTCCTTTCTGAAGTGCATAATTTTAATAAAAATATTAACCAGCTTTGAGAAAGACAGCTAATTTGGTAAACTGTTAGAGAAGAAACTTTCTGGGGCAGCTCTTGGTGAAAGCACTGAAAATACAGCACTTGTTGCACTGCCATGGGGAGCCAGTGTATTTTACATAAGCATCCTGTAGATGTTCCTTGTGAAGGTGGTCAGGGGACAGGTCTACTCCAAGATTTCACATGCATTTTACAGAATTTGCCAAAACCTCTGCATGATGAACATTTCTTCTAAATGCAAAATCAAGGTATTTTAAGCTTTTTTCCCCTATATGTACCTCTACATAACAGTTGTCACCTGATGGCTTTGTACATGAGCAGTGATGTGCCTGGAAGTCTGTTGCAGACCTGTTCAGTGCTCTGGATGGAGTTCATCACTCTTCTGATCTTAGTGACCTTCAGCTATGAAAGATTTGGGATTCCTGCTCTGTGGACAATGTTCTGAATTTTTAAGTGTCACTGATGTCTTTTCAGACTTAGCAATGATTTCCAAAGGCAAGGGTAATGGTGGGGTGGATGTGTTGTGTTCAGTGATGCTCTCGGAGAAAACTAGGGTCTATAAACACTTGGAGTGGTGGCCTAGTCCATCCCCTTGCAGAACCAGTATTAGCTAGGATAGATTTTTCCTGATTTTTATAAAGAAGGGCTCAAAGGCACTGAAGACAAAGGAAATGATAGCCTTGTGTCTGCGGGTTATGCTGGTAACTGATGTTAGGGGAGAGAGATTTATTTAGTGACAAGTTTGATGTTGGAACATGTGAGCTTCCCTCACTAGGGCACAAATGCTGTGCCATCTTGAATTGGCTATGACTGAAAATCATTCCTTACAAACAGCATGGGGCAGGGAAAGTGACATGACATCTTCACTACTTGGAAAGCAGGAAGAACACCCTGGACACTACTGGAAAGCAATAAAAAAAGTTCCCTGGGGGCACTGCTAAATTAACTGGTTTCACTCTTACTACTGAGGCCCAATTTTGCAAGCTGCTACATGGAGGCAACCCTGTTGAACTCAGTAGGTTTGACTTAACAGGGCAGAGGTATCTGTAGTAGCTTTCCTAGAAGTAATGTTCAGTCCCAAGTGAGCAGGACAAGGGGACTGCTGCATTGCCTCAGAAGATGCTACTATGAAGCAAGTCCCAAGTATTTGCCATGGAATTGTCTGAATATGCAAACATCACAGATAAGAAAAAGATGTCAAAGTCAGGCATTCCAGTGATGTTAACAGCATTCGAGTTGGGCCTCATGGCCAGTGCCCTGCCTTGCTGACCCCAGGCAGCAATAAAGTAACATACTGAAGACAATAGTATAACCGACTGCCTCTCAGCTTCTCTTTAATTCTTGTTGGCCACCAACAACCTAAAAAAGAGATTGTTTGCTTGTACATTATTATTTTGTATGTACTATCCGCTGATCATTCACTAGACTGGAAGACAAGTGCAACCAATGGAGATTGCTTGAGAAACTGTCTCTGGCATCACAACATACAAGGGCATGTGTGAACTTCTAGTGTTCTGTTACATGTGAAAAACTGCCATGTAAATCTTGCTGACCTGGCTTACTGCAGAATTAGAAGCCATTGCAGGATTGTGGCAGCACTTTCTCAATAAGAAGATTAGTTTTTTGGGGTAATTGATTTTTGAGAAAAACCTGTTTGTTCCAGCCTGTTTGTGCCAGTACCGAGGCAGCACTCTGCAAGAGATTATAGTTCATGTGGTTTATTTCATTAACCTGTTTCAATAGGGCAGCATTAACCTCCTCAAATAAGGAACACCGAAGGCCAAGACAGAGCGATGAGGGTGATGTAAACAACACAGGACAAGATCGCTGTTGAGAAATCAAGTGAAACTAACCCCAGCATTGTCAGAGCACTGTTGTTTCTATTTTCCAGACGCAGTGGGAGTCTTAAGGTTTGTGAAATGCTGAAAGAAGAGGAAGCAGTGCTGGCTCAAGAACTAATCTGTTATTGTGGTTACAAGTGTTAGGGAGGTATCTGCAAACAAGGTTCAATATTCAGTTTTGCCACAGCTCTGCTAAAGTCACAGCCCATCAATTAGTTCTTCTGCAGCACAATCCCTGTTCTGGAAAATGAAAGACACAATGTTTTATTTGGTTTTGGCTACATGGAAATACCCTTGTGCGTCACCAGAAGCATGGGGTGAAAGCACTATGATTGTCTCGGTGTCAAGGGTCTTTAAGGGGGGTCAAGGCTCAGGTGTGCCAATGCTCACCTCTTCAAGTGGAGGAGATGAGGGCTGACAAGGGTTATGCAATCACATCAAACAAAGGAATGAAGGAAATTATAAAAGTAGAGGTATGACAGGAAGAGAAAGAAGGGTGGGTATAGGGCAAAAACAGAGGACTTGAGGTAAACAGGGTTAATTGGTTAGTTGCTGCAGGACAGGGTGAATATGTATCAAAGGCAGGTGAGGTTGTGGGCTCCAGGGTAGGACCTGGAGGGAAGGTAAGGCTGGACTCCCCTCTGTCTGATGGAGGGAGAGAGCTAATATTTAATTAAAAAGTACTCTGTCTGGACAGGCTGGAGTACAAGGCCTAAACTGAGCTCAAATATTGGATTTATACAAGGGTTACTTGCTAAATTGGGTTGATTTGGTCAGCTGACTGTGAGGCAGTAGAGAGCTATTCTTACAACCTCTATGGAGTGGGTACCAGCCTTTGGGGTGCTGGTACTTTGAAAGGACACATGGAAAGAACAGGAGATGGGCTACTTGGATGACCTCTGCTGACGTTAAGTCGTGAAATTCCTGAGGGGAGGAAGGCTGAGCTTTGATTAGTCTGAGAGCTGTTAAAGACAAGTGTCCCAAAAGAGAAACTTCTAACCAGTTATAAGAAAACTAATGCAAATAGATTTATGACAAGATGAATTAAGGTTTGTTTGGTTTTGGTTGTCTTTTTTAAACTTTGGTAGAAAGTGCTTTTACCACATGTTGATTCTATTAAAAAAAAACCACAAAACCCTATTGCTTTTTGGTTTGTCCCCCTCCAAACCTCCTTCCTGCTGATCTTGCTTCCTTGCTTTGAGTTGAACAGCTGCTTCTCTTGCTGTGCTGATCCTATTGATGTCCCTGTAAATTTTCACACTTCTGATCGTCTGAATGACTATAGTCTGCATTGTTTATGACAAGGGTATCTTTTCAGCTTCTGCAATCTATTTTGATCTCCTAATAGCACTGGCCTCTCACTCAGTGCTGCTCTGTGGGGAGCTGATATGCTGCAGCCTTGCTTGTGCAGAAGCACTACTGGAAATTGCAGTTGCCTTGACCGAAGGGTAAGTGTTTTGGTGTGCTCAGAGCATGTGAAGAAAAATAAGAGGTTAGCAAAGATAAGTTTTGGTGAGTTTAGAGACAGAGAAAGCTGTGAAGAGAGAGGGGCCGCCTCTCTCTCTTTCTTGTGCTGTGGCGAGCCATGCCTCCCTCTGGCTCCTCAGCTTTTTATGAAAGGGGAAAGCTTTTACCTTCCCTTCATGTTTCTTCCCCGTCTCCCGAAAAACAAAGGACTGGGGGAAACTCCAACTTGGAGTAAAAGCTGCCAAGAAACAGTATGTTTTGCGAGGGGAAGACAGCCCCAGTACACAACGAGGTTTGGGGTGCTGCGAGGACCCTTAATCCTCCTTTCCCCTTTCTCCTCCAAGGAGCCTCTGACACTGCAGGGTGGCGCTGGTACGGCTGCTGCGCTTGAACGGCCAGCGAACAGCCGCAATGCCCACGGGGGCCGCGGCTGCGACCGGAGTTCACCGGAGGAAGGGTTGGAAGGAGGAGCCAGCTGCTTCCCGCCCAGGGCCGGGGCCTGCGGAGCTGAGAGGCAGAGCCGCCCCGCCCGCCGCGCCGTCTCATATAAGCTGGGCAGCCGCTGCCGGCAGCCCCGCGGGAAACTTCGCTGTGCCGGTGACCGTCTTGTTTGGCAGCAGCGCTTCCCGGCTCTCGCCCTCCGTCCCGCCCGCCCAGGGGCCGTGCGACTCGAGGAGAGCCCCGCGGCTTTCCGTCGCGGCTGCTTCTTCCCCTTTCGGCCCCCCTCCCGCCTACAGCGGGGCGCGGAGGCCATGTTCCCCCCGGACTCCACCTGGAATATCTCCTTCGCCGGCTGCGGCTTTCTGGGGGTCTACCACGTTGGGGTAGCCAGCTGCCTGCAGGAACATGCCCCCTTCCTCGTCGCCAACGCCAGGAAGATCTACGGCGCATCAGCCGGGGCGCTCACCGCCACCGCCCTCGTCAGCGGCGCTTGCCTCGGTAAGCAGTACACCTTGTTGTTACTAATTTATTAATTACCACAGCGGCGGGGAGGAGTGGGGTGGTGGAAATAGCGCTCCGCCCCCCTCCTCCCCCTTCCGACATGCGAGCGGCGCTTTGTTTGTAAGGCCTTACCTTAGTGTTCCTACTTCTTAGTGTCTCTGCGCGTCTCAGGCTGAGGTCCGGGGGTGATGCAGGAAGGTAGAGATACAGGGGTCCTAACCGGGCACCTGGCCTCCCTGAGATGGAGGGAGGAGCCGCTGCCCTCCTCAGAGCAGGCGTCAGGGGGTCAGCAGTGGTTTTGACCCCCACCGTAATAAAAAGTGGACTTGTGGGGCTTAGTTCGTGAATTTGAGCTGTTGGTGAGGAGGTGACCTGTTGCCCTGTAGTAACCTGCTCTTAGTGTCTGTGAGCAAGAGGGAAGCAGCTGAGGATGGAGATGTTGAGCAGTGTGTTGCATGTGTGGATTAGAGTTGAACAGCATCTCCAAGAAGCCAGGAAATCTATCTTTAGCCTTTCTTAGCATCTTTATTTCTAGAAGAGGGTTATGCCTCAGGATGTAGGGCGTTAGGGAATTTTCCTGCCCTCTGCAACAGCTAGATCTCCAGTTTAGCTAGATGTTACTTCTGTTTTCAAGTTACAGAAGAAGCTTTTTAAAAGTTACCTCTGAAGCAGGCGCATGGCATAGTCTGTCCTTGCTTAGGGCATGTCTAGAGAACAGCTGAAGAGAATGGTGTGTGGTGCCTCCTGTTTCTTTACTGTTCCACTGTAAGGTCAGGTGTTTTGTGTGCTGGGGGAGAAATCACGAAGCATGCTAGAGGCTGTACTTGGAAGCTTTTGAGAATAATCAATTCAGAAAAGTATCTTGAAAGGGGAATGTGGTGTGAGAGAATCGGGCATATCTGTTTAGTCTCAGAATTAAGAGCTTCTCCTAGAGCTGAGTGAAACCAGAGCTGTTTACTACTTGAACTCCTCTTGCCTTCATCACAGGTGTCTTTCTGCAGCAGTCCCAGTTCTTTGGGGACACGTAGAGTTTTGAGATGTAGCCTTCATGCAGCAGAAGCATTTTCTGTGTAGTTAGGTTTGAAGTTTATCTCTCCTATTTTGTTTACAGAAATGTCCGATGAAGTGTAACTGCTACTCCTGGAGCTTGATGGGAAGCTGTTCAAACCCCAGGCTGGGATCTCAAAAGCTGTAGTCATGCCATTGTGGAAGCATGCTTGCTTTTATCATGGACAAGGGAAAAGGCCTCCTCTAGTCCCTTCTCATGCAGGGATCCATTTGTTGGTAGCTGCTGGGGGGTTAGTTGCTTTACTTGCTGTTCCTTATGTTAAAGAGGTGGCTACCAATCAGGTCCTTAACTGGGTGGTCCCTGTGCTACTCAGGGGTATGGCATGAACATGAGACAGGCTGGCAGTAGTGCCCAAATCCTTTGCCTTGCTCAGAAGCCATTACTGTGCTGACCAAGTCTGTTGTTATGTCTGTGTTATTCTTGCCGTTGTACGTCCAGAGCACCCATGGTGTGCTGAGCGTTGCCCTTGGGGAGTTAGCCTGATAGAGAGCATTCTGTGAATCCAGGTTAGAACAGGTTTTTCCTACTCCCTGTGAGATACAAGGGGAGGTATGATAAAGAGGACAGAGTTAGGGGTCACCTAGGCAGCATTTGCCTCCTTCCTGAAAGAGAGCAAACCATGCTGTTTAAAGCCAGCCAAATCTTGGATCTTGGGTGTTCAGTTTCTGGTTTAAGTTCGGCTTCTCTGTGATAGTTTTCTTTTGACTCTGCCTGTGTGGTTGGCATATATCTTGGGTAGAGAGCAGCTCTAAGCAACAGAGCTCACTTCTGAAAGTAAAAGCAAATGAGGCGCTTCGTTGTGGCATGGGATCACTGTACCTTGTCCCTGTTGTAAATCCTCCTGACAGGGCAAATTCCAGCCTGAGGTCCAGGGATTAGAGTGAAATCATAGGGAAGAAGAGAATGATTAGGCAGAAGGTACTGCTGCAGCCTGTGCTAGGAGAGCAGTTCATCCTAGTACAGGCTGTTGTAGGATCCCGAGTATGCGTGTTTGCTGTGCAGCTGGTTCTGCCTGAGAGTAAGCATTATAGCCTGTGGGCTTTGAAACTTACGGCAACTGCTACTCCACACTGTCTGTTGCCCTGTCCCTCAAAGTGGAATGCTGAATAGTGTCTCTTGGTGCATGACAAGTAGAGGGGAGTTTTGTGGAAGCATTGCTTATTTGTGTGCATGTAGATGGATTTGGTTGCATCTGTACTTTGCTCTGATTTCAGTGAGACTATACTGTGCAAAGATAAATACTTCCTGGGGAGGTGTCAACAAACCTCTTCCTTTGCGTTTTTTCTTTGGTTCTGATCCTTTGAGACCCTGATTAGGGAGAACAGAAATTTTCCTGGACTCAGTGTGCAAGATCCCACCTAGTGGTTTCGTTTCCAGCTTTTTTTCTTCTTGCTTTTGCATCTCTTCAGCTGGCTTCTGAGCTAATTCTGCCTTCTCTCTGAATTAAGGCCACACTGTCATTTTTTGTATATGGCAGTAAGGCTTTGCTATGGGCTAACACTGAACTGAAAGCCCTGACCAAATGATCTTCAGCCTTGAGAACTCACTATGGGCTTGAAAGGCTGATTTTGGAATACCAAATAAAACACTTTTAGGCATACATGCTAGCTAGGTAGAGGATATTATTTCTAAATTAGAGGCCAGGAGGTATTTATGGTCTGATATGACCACACCTAGCTCTTGTTAAACACTTTACCATTAAGCCATAGTGATCTTGGATTTACTCTCTGAGGCTGCAACAGTGGTATTGTCCCACATCTGAAGTACTCTCTCCAGCCTTGAGATTCTTCTTTTCACTGGCATGAAAAAGCATTGCTATTTTTCCACTGGAATAATTTCTGTGGCTGTTGAAGTGCACCTGGCAAAGTCTCGTGTGTTTGTATAGAAGTTGCTTGATTTTGCATACTGCAGTGTTGGAGTATGAATCACTTATTGTCCTGAGGGTTTTCTGGAAAATGGCCTTCTGTCATGCCTGTGTGTTCTCTTGTGGCTGTTGGAGTCTAGCACACCAGGAAATGCACCTCTGTATGCTAAGCAAGTGAAAAAGTCCTTTTGTGCTTACTTTGTGTTCTTTTCCTTATGCACGCCTCAAATCCTGCAGCTTCTCACAAACTCTAGGCTTGGAGCTCTGAGGATATTTACCTATATGGAAAAAAAAAAACCTTAAGGCACTGGCCTGGTTGAGTAAAACTGGCTTATGTGACATGACACGACTGTCCATTTTCAGTCATGAGCAATGTTAGTTAAAATGCAGTCACTGTTGGACTTTTAAGTCTTTAATACAGAATAGGGGATGTGTTTTTTTTAAGGATCTTGAATCACCTCACTCTAGTGAGCTGCATGGGATTTGGTGTGCCTGGTTTTGAAGTGCAGCAGCCTGGATGAATGATGGGATATGAACATTTAATCACTGAAAATCTGATTTAGAGTTGATATGAAGGTCCTGGACTGTGCTTCCTACTCACAGTTAACCAAGAGCATCTGAATTGTCTGTGTAACATGTAAATATTGTCCTATACAGCCCTCATCTTGAGGGTGGGTTGGAACTGCTGAAATGCTGCTTTTTTGGGGGGAAGAGGTAGGTTCTGCTGTCAGAGGCAGAGCTGGCCATGAAACCTGCATCTGTGGGAGCTAGCTGTTCTCCTTCAGCATGACAGTTTCAGCAGAAAATGATAAAGCAAGATGAGGGAATGTTTCAAGCACTAAGAATACAGAAAGGAGTCTGTCTGCTAGATTGAGCAGTGTTGTGTAGGGTATTCTCTGGAGAGCTCTTCCTGGGTTGCTGACAGGATTTCTTATTTTTTAAACTAGTGTCTTAGCCAGGACTTGTGTTGGGCTCAACCTGGGATGAAGTAATAGTTATTTGACATTCAGGTTTGCTTGTCAGCTGTCACCATGTGACCACCAGGAAATAACGCTGCTGAACTCCAAACTTTTTCCATTAAGTAGCAGGAGGGGGAGAGCTAAAAAACAAAAAAAAAAAGCAAAAAAAAAAACCCCAACCACCAAACCCCGTTTTCTCTTTTGAAATTGAGACAATGAATGATAGTAGTGTCTTAAATGTTGTGCTCCTGAAATTTGATTATGTGCATGCAGATGCTTAAGAACTAGCCATGGAGAGTATTTTCTCAATGTGTGTGGTCTCCTAACACCAAATCACTGACTGATAGAGGGAAATAAGTCTCTATGGAGTCCTCAGAGCAATGCCAGTTTATGCTGTCCAAAGTGTGACTCATGAAGCTTGATATGTAGTGCTGTCTCGCATGGCTGTGTGAGGAGATCCATAGGTCTCCCCAGGTACGTGAGGGAAAGCTTTATTGCTCAAATCCTTCCCTGCACATGAGGTTGCTGCTTGCATCTCCTCTGGAGGCCCTAGCTGGGGCAAAAGTTGTTGAGCTCAGCAGCTCCAGCACTGTCAGTGACAGTAGAAGCACCTTTATGTACATACATGGAGATGTGGATGTGATTCATGGGAAGCCTTCTGGTGCTCCCTGGAAGCGGTAAAGCTGCTGCTTCTTTCTGTGGTGGAAAATAGAGGTGCATGGATGTTCCATGCTGACATAGTTGGAAATGTCCATTGGCTTGGTGGAGAAGCTGCTGTGCCTGGATGGGTGCCATCAGTGGTCACAGGGCTGCAGGCTCGGGTGTCCAGGTGAGTAAGCTGGTATCCAGTGTACTGTGCAGTACCTTTTTCTGGGAGGGAAGGAGCTTGTTCCCACTGCCTCCTGGCTCTTTCCCATGAGGAAAGGTGCTCTTGCAGGTATCTTGTTGGATGAGCGCAAGGGAAGCCAAGCAGCTGCTTTCAGTGAAATGCATATTCATAGCAGTGCCTGTGATTATTCTTTTGTCACCCCACATAGAGAGGAGGTGTGCAGAGCAGCTTGGTGCCCAGCCTTGCTCCGTCAGCCACAGCAGCAGCTGTGCAAAC